ACTCAACAAGATACGTGCTCCGTTTCGTAAACAACGAAACTTCATCAAGAACTGCTACGATGACAAATTAAATTGCATGAAATGTAATTTATTACTTTAAAAAACTGCTCTTTTGCAAGCGATTCATAATCAAAATCACTTGGATTCCATAATCACACAACGCAAGCAAGATTACATCAAAAACGAGTACAGAAATAATTATGTATAAATGCGATAGATGCACAATGTACAATAAAGCATGCGATAGAAGTACAATAAACCATATGCAGATGAAAGACTTCCAGGAAATCACAAAAAATCATTTGATTATATGCACATTCACATGAAATTTGGTTCGTTTATCAGCAAAACTGTGTTATATACAGACGAAAGACGCAAATATTCCTATAATGAGCAAATCATAACAAAAAATTACGAGTGCATATCCCTATATTATCACAGAATATCACTTTCAGCACATTGGACTGGACAATGCCGCTACCTGGCTAGTTAGCAATACAGTGGAATCGCTATTTCGCCAGTAATAGAGTAGCCATTCCGCAGGTTATCAAAGTAGCGAAATAACTCGCTATTGCCCACTTGGGCCTTTCAGCACTGTTTCTTTGCTCGGTTCATCATGTGTAGTCAACCAACAACGATATTCCTGCTTACACGAAATCAGCCTCCTCGAGTCTTCATTCTCTTTCTTTTCGGCGAAGAACGAATCTATTGATCATCGTTCAAAAAGAGCATAATTGAATTGATGTTGAAAACGTTGTGCGTTACGTTGTTTACGGATTGCATCGAGTGTTGCCGAAACTCGTTTCACTGTTCTGCGATCCAAAAGTTTCTTCTGGAATGAATGAATTCTTATTATGAAAATATTGACTGAGAAATGAAATCAGACACATTTCAATGATAGTAATCATTCGAACAACCATAGCAACAACAACAATTACATACACTAGATAATATCAATAACGATAATGGAACTAGTAGAATGATTATCTTATCGTTAGTGAAAGTCATAATAACAGTAACAATAACGCTGAATGCTTGTTAATGAAACCAAACATGACAGTAACTTACTTCTAAACGTTGTCTTACTTGTTGCGAAGCTGGAACTTCACGTCGTTTTGTAACTCGTCTCTTCCCCTTTCTCATATTCTCCAGACGACAGTCCACACCGGTGGCTGCCTCTAAATCTCTCATATACTCTTCGTCTTCTTTTGGTTGCGTTTGTTTTGATGATGCTCTGAAATCCCGTTCATCCTAATCAAATGGACGAAATATTGCAATCAAACTAAACAAAGTCATTGAACAAGTAAATGTTATAATTAAAGAAATGAACAATTACGCAAGTAAACAAACAAATATACAAACAAATGCATAAATAATTGAAAATTCGATCAAAGAAACCAATCCTACAACAAAATCCAACTCAGCGAATTGATTCGGGTCACCGACCTAATAACAGCGACCTCTCAGCAGTAATCCTCCCAATAGAGGGGCAATTACTGAACCAAATTACTCACGAGCTCTCATGTTTTCATGAATACATCAACGAATACTACTGTCTGTGAGCTTTCTGAACCATTCAACCACACGGACTATCAGTGATTGTTTTCACTGTCATTGAATAAGAATATGATATTATAGCAATATACTATGAAGAGCACTTACTGCTGCGCTTGTTCTCTTGTTGGGAAGCCCATAGAGTCTCGATCAATGATGACTCCATGAATAGGGCACTTGTGTTTATCCATTCGAGGACATAAACTACCGTCTGATAGTGGCGCACGACACTGTCGTTTCGAACGCTCTTCTTTGCCAGCGAATGTGATCAGTCGCGTCTGATACACTTCCAGGTCATCACTCACAACTGCCGTGCTAAAATTTATGAAAATTCCGATAGTGTCTATATTTTCTTCGAACAGTTTAGCAGAATGTTCGGAAAC